GCACATGAATCTATTTCCCCATCCTCAAAAAATATATATTTACCTATGTACATTCCTTTATTTAGACCTCTATAAATGCCCATTGCCTCCTTCCTCTTGTCCCACCATCATGTTCAGCCTTCATTAGGGTTTCAATAATTGCTCTTGCTCTTGGTTACATTACCCTTGGTCACGCCCTACCAGACCTCCTCACCACCGATTTGGATCACTTGTTGTTCTCTTGTCCCTGGGTCTGTCAATACCACTACCTTTTCCCCCACCTCCCCCTCTCCCATGTCCCCCCGGAACTGTCAGTCCCCATTGTTTTCTCCTCCAGATTGTTCATCCAGCCTATTTTACTTAGACAGACCTGTGGAGATAATAACAAGCACAAAAACAAGACAGAGTAAAACCAAGCAACAAAAGAAAACAACAACAAAAAGTCAATGACAAAAAGAAAACAACAACAACAAAACACAACACAACAACAAAAAAGAAAAGCTTATAGTTAGTTCAAGGACTGTTTGTTGGTCTTAGGAGTGTTTTCCGGTTGAGTCTGATTGGGTGCCACGCCCTGGCCCCAAAGTCTATTTTAGGTATTCCCTAAGGACTTCGTTGCTCTGTTCCCCTTGCTGTTCTGTTGCACATCCTTAGTGTTTTGCCTCAGTGTGGAGGGGTCAGATTGGGGGCAATTCCCACACGGTGTCTCCAGTGTTTTCCCCTGTAGGTCTATGGGTCAGTGAGGGATGTTGTGTCTCACAGTGGGTCTAGCCATATGGTCTTCTCTGTGGACTGACTGCTCTGAGTGGGAATATCGTCCTCAGGGCTTGGTGGGCCAGATTGTGCTCTACTCTCTCTTCCTCCCCCTTCATCTGCTCCTGGGTGCTCCGATCAGACATGACCTTCTCCCTGAGCTGAAGCTTCAGTGCTGTCCTCTGAAATAAATTCTTCTGCGGGGAGGGGGACGTATCCACGTAGTTGGGATTGGGGCCGGCTCCTCAGGCCTCTCCACTGGTTCCCTACTCCATGCTGCTCTCTCAACTCTCTTAAGCCTTTGTAAACTTTGTCTTCAGCTTGAAATGTTCTTTCTCCAGCTTCACATAAAAAAATCAAACCCACTGTCATTAAGTCATTTCTAACTCACAGCAACCTTACAGGGCAGAGTGGAACCCCTTCATAGGGTTTCTGAGGCAGAAGCTCTTTAGGGGCAGAAAACCTCATCTTTCCCTTGCAGAGTGGATGATGGGTTCAAATTGTTGACCAACACATAACCAGTCATGCCACCAGGGCTCCTTTCAGCTTCCTCTCAAAAACAAAGTCTAGCCCACTGCCATCAAGTCTCTTCTGGCTCAGACTAACCCTATACAGCATTTCTGAGGTTGTAAATCTTTAAGACAGCTGACTGTCTCAGCCTTCTCCCATGGAATGACTGCTGGATTTGAACCACTAGCTTTGCAGTCAACAATCTAATACTTACTTGACGGTTTCACCATGGCTATGTTAAGAAACAGAAAAGCCACTGCCTCTGTTAAAGATTTCTCAGCTAACCAGGCAGAACACTCGGCTCCTACCAACAAAGACTTGAAAGCATAAATTCTTAAATCCCAAAATATATACCTTATCCCAATGTACTATAAATAATTACTTTTGTATTTTCCCAGTATAAAACCCAGCAAGCCTTCCCTGAAATGTGTATGCACACACATGCTTGTATACACACATCAAACTGGGAACTCCTACAGAAACTTTGGCTTTACATTCATATCTTGGTTCTTTGCATATAATAGAC